CTGGGAGCAGCTGCTAGAGGGCACTGAGCTTCCCAACCCAGCAGCCAGGCCATCTCCCATTAGGGTGCTGCAGTGGGCCCTTCCTGGCTGGGGCAGTGGGGGTGGATGTCATGGACCTCTGGGTCCCCTGGCACTCAGGGGAGCAGGGAGTGGGCCAGCCCGGTGAGTCACGGCTCCGGTGAGCAGACCGATGATGCTCTTCTCCCTGTGTGCAGAGGGGACAGCTGCCTGGTGCAGCCATGATGGGGACAGACCCCATGAGCTGTGCTGCCAGCCCTCACCCCGTGATGCTGGGGTGCTCAGGTCCCAGGAGGATGAGCCTTCTTGGGTCTGAAGGGCAGACTCGTATGCCTTTGGGATCCCTGAGTACACACTGCACTGCTGTCGGGTGGGATCCCAGGGCTCTATACTGTGTGACCTTGAGCAGTGTTCCCCCTTCCGTGGTCTCAGTTTACCCACCTCTGAGCTCCATTTCAGGTCTCAAATGCTTGGGCCTATCATAGACTCTTCCTAAGACAGGGGCTTCAGATAGAGAAATGTGAGTGGAGGCCAGAGAGGGCTGAGGGTGTGTGTGTGTGGTCGCTCTCAGTGGGGTGCCCGTGGGTCTCTCCTGATTCGCTGAGCCAGTAACCAAGGGTGGCAGGGTCACAGAGATGAAGTGGGAAAGCTTTAGAGCCAGCTGCTTGGGTGTGCTTCTCACTTGCTTCTGTGCGGCCTTGGGCAAGTGGCTTAGCCTCTCTGTGCATCAGTCCTAGTCACCTCTGCTAGAGAAGGAGGGACTGCCAGCAGCTACTTTTTGGGTTTGGGACAGTTAGATTAGTTCATGCATATTTACTGCTCAGAAGGCTGTTTAATGACCGCTCATCGTTCACAAGGAAAGGCACAGCCGGCCTGCTGTTTCCATGTCGCATGTGCACCCAGGGCTGTGGGACGGAGATGGCAGCGAGGGGTGTGTGTGTGAGAAGACACAAAGTTCTAAGATGATCCTCAGAGTCACCAGATGTTGGGCCCTTTCTCGCCGCCAGCCTGTCCTGTCAAGCGTACCTGTATGCATGTGAGGGCGCTTTGCAGTGAGATCATAAGATAGGCATGACTAGTCTTCCCATTTCACGGATGGCAAAACTGAGCCACCGAAAAGTGGTGGCTTGTCCAAGGTTGTAAGGCTGAAAAGTGACAAAAGGGTCCCCGGATCCATGGCTATAAATATCAGGATGTAGAGTTGTTTAAGATTCTTTTATATATTTTTTTACCTCATTTATTTAAAAAAAATCATTAAAATATAATTTAATTGGGGGTTCTTACAGGTCTTAGAACAATCCATGGTATCAAGCATATTTGTATATCTGTTGCCATCATTATTTTCTAAACAATTACTTTCTATTTCAGCCCTTGGTATCAGCTCCTCTTTTCTCACCCCCATTCCCGTGACCTCTTGATAAATGATAAATGATTACTGTTTTCATATCTTACACTGACCGCTGTCTCCCTCCCCCATGGTTTCTGTTGGTTGTCCCCCTGGGAGGGGGGTGGTGATTGTGGCTATCTGTCGATCACTGCCAGGATTGCCCTTCCTCCCCTCCTCTCCCCACCTCCCCGCTGTCCTCCTGGTAGACTACTCCCATTCCTGTTCCTGTGGATTCTGTGTGTCCTGAGCTCTTTTATCTCTTATCTGTACCTGTGCATGTGCTCCAGTCTAGCCTGCAGTGAAAGGCAGGACTTGGGGTCATGATAGTGGGGGGTGAGGAAGCCTCAAGGGGCTAGAGGAATAGTGTGTGTTTCATTGGTGCTATACTGAGCCCTGGATGACACATCCCTTCCTTGTGACCCTTCTGAGGGGGTGTCCCAATGTCTACAGATGGGTTTTGCGTCTCTGCTCTGTTTTGCATCTTCTGATGTCTGTTACCCGATTGTGTCAACACCCCATGATCACATAGGCTGATGTGTTTCTTCCATGTAGGCTTGTCGCTTCTCTGCTAAATGGCTACTTGTTTAACTTCAGGCCTTTAAGACCCCAGACACTATATCTTTTGATGGCCAGGACCATCCGATTTCTTCACCATATTTGCTTATGCACCCATTTTGTCTTCATTGATTGTGCCGGGAGGGTGAGCATCACAGAATGCCAGGTTGTTAGAAAAAGTGTTCTTGTGTTGAGGGAGGGCATGAGCAGAGGCCCAAATTCCATCCACTACCTCAGTGTATTGCCATATAAATATATGTACCTAGGCCAATACCTCTATTTTTATGAATTAATGTATTTACGTATGTACACACCTATGCTTATACCTCTATAAATTTTTTCCCTTAGAAAAATTGAGAGAGAGAGAGAGAGAGAGAGAGAGAGAGAGAGAGAGAGAGAGAGAGAGAGAGAGAGGAGGAGTGGGGAAGAAGAGGAGAGG